AAGCACGGACATACTCCAACATACAAGTTACAAGTCTGCTTTCTACATACACAAATACAAAATCAAGGGATGGAAAGCATACAGGACTCCAAGACCCTTGAATGTAAAAGATTATGTAGTGTGTGTTCAACACAGATACAATGCTGTATACACTAACAAATAACAGGGCACATAAAACTGGCCTAGTGCATGATAGAAAATTGGACCAACAAAATCTAAGAATGTAAGGGAAAAGATACAAATAGATAAAAACACCCCAGGACACACAATCATACAGAATTACTGGTGTGCACTGAATATACAATATACATCTACATACATAAGCACATTGCCAGGAGTGTGCACCATTTACAAACACAGGGACACCCCCAAACCCAGGGACTCACCTTGCCCATCCCGGAGTGCGCATGGCCCATCTTTACAACCACGGGGTACATATTGCTGCTGAGCTGGTAGGGTGGAAAGGCAGAACATGGTCAGGGCAGAGGGCTGATTGCCAGGGGTGGGGGTGGTGCTGAGGGGAGCCTATCCAGCAGGAGCCACTTCCCAGAAGAAGCAGGTCAGAAACAGGCAGACAGCAGCTGGGCGTCACACACCACCTCTGAGCTCAGAATCAAACCCAGAGGCCTGTCTGCCTGTCTCTCCCTCCACCCCCCAGACTTCCCGCCTCTGCTTTCCCAGGCAGAAGCATGGGATAAGGGTGGGGGCCTTTTCCGGAAAAGGGAAAGTTTGTTTATACAGTGACTGGATGATAGAGAAGTGAGTGTGTGCATGGGGGTGTAGTGGTGAGCATGTACCAACAGGACCCCTCAGCCAGGCCCTACACACACAAACCCTCAAAACTCAGATCTACACAGCCAAACCCTGAGATGCCCATGCACGTTGAGACCCACAAGACCTGCAACCAAAACAGGCTCCGGAGCACATCTCGCTCTCCAACTACATAGACACCCACAGTCATTCAGCCAGCCTGGTGCTCACGGTGTGGGGCAGGGGCCAGAGCTTCTGGCCAGCCTCCTTGCTGGGCAGCACACACTCAATACTTTTGGGCGCAGGCACACACACTGCCACCTCCCATCACCCAAATCCATTCAACAGTTAGAGGGACACACATCACAAAAAATCACCCATGTGATACAAAGACAACCCTCAGGGCACATTCATAGAATGCAGAGGAATACACAACTCTGAGAGGCACACAGAACTGGGCACATAGTCAACACTCACAGATGCACTTCCAACTCTCCCAGGCATACTTACAACAAACAGAAGGACCCACACCACATACAAAAAGATACACACCCTTCTAGGTATTCACAGAACCACTGAGACCTATAACAACAGAGACCCACGCCACACTCCCGGGCACACAAAACATGTACCTAGGAACACAACATGCCTTGCCATATGTGCAGAGAGGCACACACAGAACCAGAGATACCACAACCCTCCTAAGCATACAGACAACACTCCTGGGTGTGTGCGTGCACACACACACATGATCACACATTCAGGTGCAGGGAAATGTCAAGTCTCCCTGACCCTGGGCAGGAACAAGGGGATCAGATTGGGTGACCCAGCCCCACCGTAGTATGGATGCATGCAGGGCCACGCCCTCCATCTGCTGCGCAGACAGCTGCCCTACAGCACAGAGAGATGGCATTCCCAGAGGGGCAGCTGGAAGTGCGTCTGTGGGGTGGTAGTGGTTCCCGGTTCCCGACAGGCACAGGAAGCCCGTAGGCTCGGGGTGACTGATTGACCTCCAGGCGTTGCCCTTACTCTGCACTCCCACCTTCCTCATTTCACAAATGATTGGCGTCATTATTGGGAGATGAGAGGCACCCTTACAGGGATCCTCTAGGTAGCTTTGCAGGAAACAGTGCAGAGGCGGCGGGTGACGTAGCACTCAGACACACTCACAGCTCGCAGAGGGGAGAAACATCCATAATTACATGCGCAATCTAGACGCGCTTTACAGAGGCAGACATACAACTCCTAGAAACAACACAAAACACTCAGGTCCACACATACACCACACACACACCACCTAAAGGCACACTGGCAACTCTCAGGGGCAGAGACACAGCAGAGAGCTATGCAAAAGCACAGCTGCCCCCCGCCCCATTTTCTAGGCTCCTCTTTTCTTTTTTTTTTTTTTTTTTTTAATCCTCACCCGAGGACATTTTTCCATTTTTTGTTCAGGTAGAGTGGGGGAGAGAGAGAGGAACAGAAAGAGAGAGAGACATCGATGTGAAAGGGACACATCGAGTGGCTGCCACCCGCACAACCGACCAGGGCCGGGGACAAACTGCAACCGAGGTACGTGCCCCTAGCGGGAACCGAACCCAGGTCTCTCAGGACCGTAGGCCGACGCTCTAACCGCTGAGCCAAACCGGCCAGGGCTAGGCTCCTCTTTTCATAAACCCTCCTTATTTTTCCTCTGGACCTGAGCCTGAACACAACACTGTATGTGTGCCCATACATGTGTGCATGAGTGGAGCGCTGCACTCTGGGATCCTCTGGAGAGCCTTGGCTTTGAATCTTGGCCTCTCCTCTTCCTAAAACCATGTGGGACCCCTGGCAGGTCACTTAAGCCTTTTAGGGTCTGTTTCCTGATCTGTATGAAGGGTACAATCAGGCCCAAGCACTTGGTGTGCTGTGGAGATTGCCAGGTGTCCATTCTGCACACACAGTTGGGCCCCACGCTCCCCCACCCGCACCCAGCTTCGCAAATACTCACACACCCTGACACCCCTCCATGAAACCCCACAGGTTTCAAAACCTGCACAATAACCTGGATCCACACAACCCCTCATGTAGACAGTCGGCAAAACTCTGTGCTGACTCAGGTTTCAGAGTCACAGAGCTAACGTCAGAACCAGCGAGGGGCTGCAGCAAGACTTTCCCTTCCCTCACTTCTCCCTTTGGCTCCACCACTGACTTACTCAGCCCACTGTCTCATTCACTCTCACTCCCTACTTTCACAATCAGCTTCTCCAAATTCCTGGTTTACATTCTTCCCCCTCTTTCTTGTCTCCCCAACAGTCATTTCTTCACTCTCATTCCTGGGCAGGTTACTGAATCCTTTGTTTGTCTCAGTTTCTTCATCTGCATACTGAGAATATGAACAGTCTCTAACTCACAGGGATATTGTGAGGAATAGATTAGTTATGTCGGGAAAAGTGCTTAGCACAATATCTGGCACACAGGAAGTCTGCATCCTCCAAAAGTGTTGGGTACTGTTATTATTATTGGTTTATCATCTCTTGGTTAGCCAACATTAACAAGGAGGCAATCTGGATTGACTGAGAGATAAAGTACTTACAAAAATTTTACAACAGTGCTTGATACCCATTAAGCACTCCATTAAGTAGTGGTGGTAGTTTTTGTTGTGGTGATGTTGCTGTTGATTGAGCTAACCTCCCTGAGTTAATCCAGTTTAATTAGCAAGAGGGTTATGGAGACCAAATAAAAGAATTTACACAAAGACTTCAGGGCACAGTATACAGTAAATGCTCAATAAGTGACTGCTGTCATCACTACCATCATTATTATTGGTCTGTCCTCCCCGAACAATGAAGGATGTTAATCAGCCCTCAGAGCCCTTTCCCAGGACCCTAGGGAAGATTCAGGTAACATCTGGAAGCTGGCAGGCAGGGACTACTTTACCCCACCCCCCTACCAGGGGCACTGTCAGGGAGGGGTTGGTGGGGAAGGGGCAGGGCAGGATGGGAGGGTATCAGTTTTCTCCTGACTCACTGGCTTCTTTCACCACCATTCAACTCCCCCCATCCCAATGCTCATTAATTCACCAGCACCTTCCCAGCTTGCCAATCCTGGGTTTGTATCTTGGGGCAGGTTGGCCTAAATTCAAATCCCAGCCATGCCCTGTGATTCTGTGAAAGTTCTTCAATTCCTCTGTGCCTCATTTTTCAATTTTTAAAATGGGAATAATACTGGTACCCATATCAGAGGCTTATTATGAGCTTTTAAAAATTGAATTATAGTTGACCTACAATATTATATTAGTTTCAGATGTACAACATAATGGTTCTATATTTTTATACATTATGAAATGATCACCATGATAATTCCAGTTAGCATCTGTCACCATGCAAAGTGATTACAATATTATTGACTATATTTCCTGTGCTGTACATTGCATCCCCATGACTTATTTATTTTATAACTGGAAGTCTGTACTTCTTAATCTCCTTTATCTATTTCACTGGCCCCATTCCCCCCCTCTGGCAACCACCAGTTTGTTCTCTGTATCTATGTGTATATTGCTGTTTTGTTTTGTTTGTTTGGTTGGTGTTTTAGATTCCACATGTAAGTGAAATCATACGGTATGTGTCTTTCTCTGGCTTATTTCACTTAGCATAATACCCTCTAGGTCCATCCATGTTGTGGAAAAACTTGTGAGCTTTAAGTGAGATAAATTATGCTGAGTGCTTGGTACACAGTTGGTACTATATAAATGCCATTTGCCTGTGTTTTTTGGGCAGAGTTAAGACTCCGGCTCTGGCTCCAGGCCACTCAAGTTCAAATCCCAGCTCTGCCACTTATTAATTGTGATCTTGAACAAGTCACTTAATCTCTCCATGCCTCAGTTACCCCACATGTATTTCTCCTCCTTTCACCTCCACTGCTTCTGCTTAGTCTCCTCTCTGCCTCCCGCACCCTCCGCCAGTTTGTCGGATCTACCAGAGGAATTTTTGTGTGTGCTTAGTATAGAGTACCTGCACAAGAAGTGTTTATTGACGAAATGAACTAATTCGGGCTTCAGCCGCGAAGGAGTTTGCGATCTGTGGGCGATTGGATAGTTTGGAGACTTTAAGGAATTACATTAGGGGAATCCTGACTCTAAGCACTCCATTGAAGCCTCCTGTGAGAACTAGTTTGGGACTTGGAGATGGGGGAGGGGGATGACCAGGGCGAGGCCTAGGGGGAGGGAGAGGAGGAGGGTGAAGCTACATTTCGGCCCGCCTCTTGGCCACCACTGACGGTGGGCGGATGAGTAATGCATCCAGGAAGCCTGGAGGCCTGTGGTTTCCGCACCGCTGCCACCCCCGCCCCTCGCGTGGACATTTATCCTCTGCCGCTCAGGCCCTGCCGCCATCGCCGCAGACCCAGCGTCTACAGAGGCTACATCAGAGGTAGGCAGGGGACTGGGCGGCCGCAGGGCCTGGACCTGGGCTGGAGCTTTCCTGCCGCTGGACACCTGGCTGCTCAGCCTGAAAGCCAGGCACCAGAGCCCTGGGCCGGTCAAGGGGAGAGGGTGTGTGTATGTATGTTTGGGGGGGGGGTGCTGGAACTGCTCCAAACTCCTGATATCCATCCTAAATCCACCAAGATCATGAACCTCTAATATCAGATGCCTCCCAAGCGGCCAACTCCCCTAAATTCCCTCACTGTCCCCCAAGTCCTCCCACCGCCAAACCCCTGAAGATCCCCCAGCTCCCCCCAATACCCCAGACTCCTAAATCCTCAACTCCCTAAACCTCAAAACTTCCTCTGCGCCCAAGTACCCCCACCCTGGGCACCCCACCCTCTTAAGCTCCCAAACGGCACCAACTCCCTAAACCCCCAACCTCCTCCAAAATCCTCAGCCTCCCTCAACTCCCTGGCCTCCTCTCTCTCTCAATATGCACCGCTCTGAAACTCCCAACCTCCCTCCAAACTCCTCCAGTTCCCCAAACCCCAAATTCCTCACCCCCAACTCCTCCACCTTCCAACTTTCCTAACCCCTTAAGTCTTCAAACTCCCCCAGACCCCTTTCCCCCAAACACCACAAACCTATAATCTCCCCCACTTACCCTGTCCCCTAAATCACTCAAACTCCACAACTCTGAAACTCTCCCAATCCCCTAGGCCCCTAAAATCCTCTGGGCTCTCAAATACGCAGCCCCTTAAAATCCCCAAACTCCCCAACCCCTCTAGCCCAAATGTGGCAGCCTAATCCCAATCCAGGCTGCTGGGGGTGGGGCAGGATGGGAGGCCTGCTCAGGTGCTCGGATCAGCTGTGCTGGAGGCCGCCTGACCTCTCCTCTCCATCCCTGCAGAACCCACCATGGCCCCCTTTGCACCACTGGCCTCCGGCATCCTGTTGTTGCTGTATCTGACAGCCCCCAGCAGGGCCTGTACCTGTGCCCCACCCCACCCGCAGATGTCCTTCTGCAACTCCGACGTCGGTGAGTGTACCCCACTCTGCTCACACACTGCTTTGGTTTCCCTCTCAGTCTAGTGGGGTTCAGGGTGGTGCTCACCTCTAGAACAATTCCACTTAGCCCTGCACTGACTCTGCTTTGACACACTGGCATCCTCACTCGCGTCTTTGATTACTCCAGGCCCAGTCCCTTCCTCAGGGCCTTTCCACGGGCTGTTGCCTTTGCTTGGTACACACTTCCTCCCAGGTATCCATATAGGTGACTGCCTCAAATGTTACCTTCCCCAAATTTCAACCACTGTCCTCTAGTCCTCCTGATCCCCCTTACCCAGTTCTAAAGTTCCTGATCACACTTAATACCTCTAACATTCCATAGACTTATCTAGTTTGCTTGTGTTTAGTCTATCTCCTCCTGGCTAGAATTGTGAGCTCCACAAGGGAAGGGATTTCTGTGTGTTGTTCACTGTTGTGTCCGTAACACCCAGAAAAAAATGCCTGGCATGCAGCAGGAGCTCCAAAATATTCATTAAATGAATGAACAAGTGGTGAATATGAAAAAGGCTTAAAGCAGAGACTGGCAGAGAGTAGGCACTTAATATATGGGTGAATCAATTAACAAATGTGTAAATTTCTTCATGTGTTGTCTGGCATCCAGCGACCCCTATTTAAGTATGTGCTTTGCTAGTATGACTACTGTAATTGTTTTATTTTTATTGGCGCCCGCAGTTCATTTGACTTGTTTTTCCCCCTCCTCTCCTGCAGTCATCAAGGCCAAGTTCATAGGGACAGCAGAAGTCAACCAGACAACTTTATATCAGCGTTATGAGATCAAGACGACCAAGGTATCCCTCCTAACCCTTCCTCAGCAGTTCTTCCCTGTAAAAAAAAAAAGCCTCTGGCCATCAGTTAGCAAGGAAGTTAGCTGTGACCTCAGGAGAAGGTGGAGTGGGAGATGTCATCAGTAAAAGAGACTCTTTTCATACATCCACAGATGTTCAAAGGGTTCAACGCCTTGGGGGATGTCTCTGACATCCGGTTCGTCTACACCCCAGCCATGGAGAGTGTCTGTGGATACTTCCACCGGTCTCAGAACCGAAGCCAGGAATTTCTCATCGCTGGTGAGGCTCCACCCCCTCATCCCTGGCCATGCCACCCGTCCCCCTGAGGCTGTAGCCCGGCAACCCTAACCCAGCAGGCGAAGAGTCCCAGTTGAAATGGGGACCGCCCCAATTTCAGACTATCAGAAGGCCCCCAGCCAATCAGGTGTCATCCTGCCTGGCCCAGCCAATCAGAAGCTGCCTGTTGTTCACCCCCCCCCTCCAGGACAACTGTGGAATGGGCACCTGCATATCACTACCTGCAGTTTCGTGGCTCCCTGGAACAGTCTGAGCTCCGCTCAGCGTCGGGGCTTCACCAAGCTCTACACCGCTGGTTGTGAGGAATGCACAGTGAGTGCTTGGGCCCTGCCTGCCACCTGGAGAGAGCTCCTTGGGCTCTTCCCTAAATTCGTGCCATGTTTCTTGCTCCCTCTGGCTACTCTTTTTCCCTATGGCTTCTCCCCAAACCCCCTGTGCTGTCCCTGATCTTTCTTGCTGTCCCCCGCAAACCTGAGACTGTTTTCCTGGACATTCTGGTTGTTCCTTTGCCCCGTGCCTCACACCTGGGCATTCACTGTTGTGACTGCTTCCTGTCCCTCTAACTCTCTCTTGTGACTATTCTGTAGTCGATGTTTGTTCCTGACCCCCCTGGGATTTTTTCTTTGTTCCCTGGAATGTTCTCCAAGAACCCAAAGTGCTGTTCCCCAACCCACTGACTCTTCCCCAGTACATCTGATTGTTGCTCTCCAACTGTGACTGTAACACACACAAGGGCGAGTTAGATTACCCTTCTGACTTCCAGGACTGTTCCCCGATGTCTCTGAATGTCCTCTGACCCAGTGACTGTATCTGAGAGCCCCACAGCTTCTTCCTATGCTTAAGTTTTCCACCTTCCAGCTGTTCCCTGTTACTGCCAGTTGTTCCCTATCCTATGGGACAGTTCTCAGGAGACCCACCTGACTGATCCCCCCAACTGTCCCCAACCACCAAGACACTGATTCTTTTTCTGGATTACTGTCACCTCACCGAATCCAATGACTGTTCCCTCAGTGGGAGGGACTGTTCTTGAGCCTGTGGAGTGACACAAGGACTCTCTAGCAGCTTGGTGATGAATGTTGAGGGGAAAGTTCTGCTCCATAGGCGGGGAAGGGTGTTCGGGGGAGAAGCCCTCAGAGATGTGCCTCTCTCCCCTCTTCCAGGTGTTTCCTTGCTCATCCATTCCCTGCAAACTGCAGAATAACACTCACTGCTTGTGGACAGACCAGCTGCTCACAGGCTCTGACAAGGGCTTCCAGAGCCGCCACCTTGCCTGCCTGCCACGGAAGCCAGGGATGTGCACCTGGCAGTCCCTGCGGCTCCGGGTTGCCTGATCCTGCCCCCAGCAGAAGCTGAAACCTGCACAGTGTTCACTCCCTTTCCTACTCCTGTCTTTCTTTTTTCAAGACAATGAAATAAAGACCTACCACTCAGCAGGCAGTGTCCCTGTGTAGTGTCTGGGAACAAACCCATGTTACTGATGACTTGGTGGGAGCACGCTGGGACCAATGCTGAGGGGATGAGGGGTGCAAAATGTTGGCTTTTTATATTTTGCATAAAATTTGAGGTTTTGGTAATAATTCTCTACATTGGCATTAGCACTGGTGATCTGCAATGTAAGTAATTTAACCTGTTGTCGACTACAGCTTACTGGAGCTCTCTTTACTCAATACTTAAAACATTTTACTAGGCTAATTTATAAATCCTATTTGCACAGGGCTCTCTAAATTACCCACTGCTGACAAATCACTACCTCATTGGCAAATTCCCCTATTTACAGGTCCCTCCAGCCCACAAGCTCATTGACAAATACCCTATCAATTGGCTAACAGCTCTCCTCACCACAGGCATTGTCTTGATGTCATCCAGTGACAATGTTCTGCCCCATCCAAACCTGTGGGTATTACTGTCCCCACCTTTAGGTTTTGTACTGTGAGTCTGAGTGGAGTAAAAGGGGAAAGCCCCAGGGATCCTAGACCCCCTCCCCATAACCCAGCCCAGGACTCTGGAAGAAGGGGCAGCCTTGCCCCGCCCCTACCATGGCCAGTGGGAGATTCCTTGGGAGTGGTTGTTTGGGGAATAGGAGAGATGGGCAGAAAGTATGCTCTGGAAACCCCCTTCTCCTTCTACCTCTGCCCTCACTCCTCTGACCAACTTTGACAGCAGTGAAGTGCAGGTAAGGGTTCAAAATCAGAACCAACCACGTACATCAGCCCCACACCCCCTTCACACACTGCTCCTGCCAGTAAACCCAGGTCTCCTCCAGGGTATATGGGTCTCCAAGTATGGCCCCCTGGATTCTCTGTGGCCCTGTCTTTGCATTCCTGGCAGTTCCCCCAGGGCCCAGGGTATGTCCCAGATCAGGATGGGTGGAGTTTGAGAACCCAGTGTTTACCTTCTTGCACAGGGGACACCCATTACAGTAACAATTTCTATGCCAACATGTACACCTTGGTTATGCCCTGGGGGAAATCTGAACCCCGGCTACCAAAAGTAGTAAATGGCAGCCTTGACTGATGGGCACAACTGTAAGGGAAGGGCCTTGTGGCAGTATCACTATTGCCTCAGCTGCCAGTAAGAGTTTGGCAACTCCCGCCCTGGCTGGTGTGGCTCGGTTGGGTGTCATCAGTGCACTGAAGGGTCACCAGTTCGATTCCTAATTCCCAGTCAGGGCACATGCCCAGGTTGCGGGCTCAATCCCTGGTAGCATGGGGGTGTGCAGGAGGCAGCTGATCAATGTTTCTCTCTCGCTTTCCCTCTCCCTTCCTTGGTAAAATTAAAAAAAAAAAAATACACCACTTATCCTCGAGTGAGAATTTAAAAAAAAGTTTGGCAGTTCTTGACAGGTCACCAAACCCTAGTACCAACAGTTGCCCATACTCTTATGCTGTTCCCTGACCCCAGCACCAGTTCCTTGAGCCTCCAGCTGTTTTAACCCCTGGGAGGAAGATAGCACAGAAAGTGGCAGTGGAAAGATGGAGCCCAGTACGGAGACCATTCTCTTGCTGACCTGCCTACTTGCAGGTGGTGCCCTGGATCAAGACACCGATGCTTCATAGACAGGGTTGACCACCAGTCCTTAGTCCTACTGCAGCCCTTTTCACAGAATCCTGAGCAGCATTTAAGGCCCCTTCCTCCAGATGCTGGCAGGAGCTCCTGGCAGGATATCTGTAGTCCTGAGGTCACTACATCTCCCCATCACATTTCTAGAAAATCCACTAAAGTGAGTAGAGTTACCTTCCACCTCAGCATTCAGCATGTCTGTGAATCTCTGCTTGTGAGAGACTCTGGTGACAACGAGAAAACGTGGCAGTGACAGCCTTGTGAGGTGTGAAGCATGGGGTCGGTCCAGTTCCATAGGTAGCCTGGGGGCTGGCTGTTCCCTCACCTGAGCCTCAGCACTTCTCCCTAAAAATCCTTCCAAGGTCTATGCTAGGAGGATGATTCGTGGATGTATTCACCCCTTGGGTATTTTTTTTTTTCAGGTCAAAACACATGAAACTCTCCTAACAATAACTTCATGTGTAATATTACTAACAGTGATTTTATTTCTAGATAAGTAGTGTAGTGTAATGATTAAGAGCATGAATGCTGCTGCAGCCAGTTTGGCTCAGTGGTTAGAGTGTCGGCTCACGGACCAATGAGTTGTGGGTTTGATTCCGGTCAAGGGCACGTACCTCCGTTGTGGTTTGTCCCCGGCCCTGATTGGGGTCGTGTGGGTGGCAACCACTCAATGTGTCTCTCTAACATCGATGTTTTTCTCTCTCTCTCTTCCTCTCTCTCCCTCCTACTCTATCTGAGCAAAAATGGAAAAATATCCTCGAGTGAGGATTAAAAAAAAAATGAGCATGAATGCTGGAACCAGGTCATTTGCATTCAAATCCTGCCCCTTCCATATATTAGCTCCCTAACCATGGGAAAATCACATTACCTCTTTGTGCCTTAGTTTCCACACCTGTAAAATAAAGATAAAAAGTGCCTAACTCACAGGGACAATGTGAGCATTAAATGAGGTCATATATGTAAATTGCCTGGAAGTGCTAGCCAAACAGCACTTATGATGATTAATTATTATTAGTATGATAAATATAATTTAATGTATAACTTTAGTCGTGATAATGCTTGTCAGTAATGATTATTTGCAATATTGCAAATAGTGTTAATATTAGGAATAATTTGCAATATTGGACATAATATCAGTCGTAATAATTTCATGTACCCTGGAAACTTTAGTTTAACTCATGATCCTGAGAGTTTCCCCCAGAGATGTTACAAATGCTTATTATGCTCATTTGTTGTTTTTCTTATTACTATGGTGCTTATACACTGCTTCCCAGTGTGTAAATCCTGCAACTGAAAAATACCAACATTTTCAAAGACTTCTGAGGACAACCCCTCCCCCTAGTGATAACGTTCCACTACACAGTCTTCACTGTGGACAAAAAAACACATTTATAAATCTCTGCTGCTGTCAAGACTACAGGTAACAAATTTATAAGGCCTTGGTAAATCTTTCTTTTTGGAAAGTCCCCTCTCCTCACTGTATAAACCCCTTCTTTCACAAATACCCCACTAACAAATAGACTGTTGAGCCACCTCCTATTCTTAAATATCACATTGACATATCCACATTGATAACCCCCATTGACAAATCTCCCCATTCACAATACTCAGGAGCAATCTATCACCCACTGATAGAACCCAGTGACAAATACCTCTCTTCATAATTATCCATCCATTGGCATATCCCCTAGTGACCAACCAGATGACAAATTTCTCTATTCATAAATGTCTAAGACATAATTCCCATTTACAACTTCTATTGACATATTTCCCTATTCATATATCTTGACCCAATGGCATATCTCCCCATTTGATATGCCCATCAAAGTGATCCCATTGATGAGCCAGCCCCCTTATCAAACCTTCCCATTCAGAAATAAACACCAGCCCCTATTTAAAAATGAGTAATGACTGACACCTGCATCTTACTATCCAGCTCTGGACACTTCCTACTGACAGTATTGGTAAAATCTGAGGACCAAAAGCAATTACACTGTAGAGCCCACACCAAAGGAAATGATTAGGGCACAAGTTCTCTCGGGATGTGGAGGTGAAGGAGGAGCTTTAAAAAAGATGAGTCGAAAGTCTACCTAAGAAGCTGTTAGAACCCCAGACATATTCAACTACCAGTAGAAGGCTGAAGGTTTGAATCTCTTGAAAGAGTAAAACAGAAGGTTCATATGGGCAGGAATGCCCAGGCTGCACCTCACTGTTGTTGACTATCTACCACTGAGCTTGGGCCTCCTGATGAACCTTTGTGGAGAGCTACAGCTCTGATGGATGGAGGCGGAACCATTAGCACCAGAGGCCCAGATTCAGTGTATTTTGCTGCCACCACACCATGGGGTCCTCCCCCTGCTCCCAGGCCCCTGGAAAGTAGTAGTACTAGATGAATGCTCCCTGAATCCTCTCCTGGTTGGGGGTGAGCTGGGCTGGGGAAAGGTTATGTTTCAACCTCCTCCCATCCCTTAGGCCTCTGTCATGAATCCGCCTTCCTGCTGGTGCCTGCTTTGCTCCTGGTTCTGTCCATGACCACCGATAGGTAGGCCTTTGGGTGCTAGTAACCACATCTCATGATGTTTATTGTAACCCAGACATGGCTAAGTCTGGGCACACCTCAGAGAGGCCTCCAACACAGGGGCTCACAGTGAGGTTCCAGGGAGTGGATAAAGCTTACTGAAGTGGTAGAGCCTGGCAGGGAGGTGCTCTGCAAACCTCTTTTTTTTTTTTTCAGGAGTCTTGGGGATAGAGAAAATCTTGAATGCCTGAACTCCAAAGGGTTGCCTGACACATTTCTCCCACTCCTAGCTCTCGTGACTTAATTCCTGGGGCTCATCCTCCTCACCAAAACCATAAGGCGTTATGAGTTTAAATCACCAGGGTACCCTACACACCTCTTCCCTATACCTGTCTCCCCACCAAAATACAAGTTCCTGACCTTATTCTGGAACTGCCATTTGACCCAGTGATTCCACTTCTAGGAATATATCCTAAGAAGCCTGAAACACCAATCAGAATGAATGTATGTACTTCTATGTTCATAGCAGCACTATTTGCAATTGCTAAGATCTGGAAGCAGCTCAAGTGTCCATCAATAGATGAGTGGATAAAGAAGCTGTGGTACATATATACAATGGAATACTATGCAGCTGTAAGAAAGAAAGATCTCTTATCCTTTGAGACAATATGGAAGGACCTCAAGAGTATTATGCTAAGTGAAACACGCCAATCAGAGAAAGACAATACCACATGATGCCACTCATTTGTGAAATATAATGAACAAAGTGGGCTGATGAATGAAATGGACCCAGAGACATAGAAAGGAGTATGGTTCAGACTGACAAACCTCAGAGTAGGGGGATGGGCGGCATGG